GTTTCGAATCTGCATGCACTTGGATACACATGTGTAGTACTCACAATAGAAAAAAAAAATTTTTAATGGTACAGCAATGCATTGTCACTGAAATTATCATCTGAATCACATTCGACATATCAGTTTGTTTTTTTTTTTTTTTTTTTTTATTACGACACGTGTATTATTTGTGCCACTCTTTCTTGTCCCAAACGCGTGTCTTGGCACGAGATGTACGATCAAAGCGTGCGACCCAAAAGCCATGAGCTACACATGCATTTAAAGACGATAGGCCGGAGTTGCTGCGGCTGACTATATACGACGCATCACCTGGTTGATTCATAGTTTGCCAATCCAACAAAAGGATTACTCGAGAGTCATTAGAGATAAATGTGTATGAAAACATGCGACGATACAAGATGAAGAAGATGAGTTATCACTGCTATCCCGATGAAGAAAAAGAGCCCAGAATAATATTGTATTTACACACGCATCAGTAGGTAGATAGGTAAACTGCCAGCACTGGAAGTCAACAAAAGCGACATTGTTATTGCAGGATCTCTGTTACTTCGGTTAGGGGATGGGCTTGGAGCTGCAGAGCAACAACTTGGCACTCGTGCTGACGACAATTTGCCATGATTATGAGACAAAGAGGAGGGGGTGGGCAGATGGATATCCCATTAGATGCGATTGCAGCGGAGTAATGGGACCCATAGAGCGCGTATAGCTGCAGTTATTAACCCATAGCTGGGCGGGGGGGAGGTGGCAGAACTTTGGGACGTCAGTGCCATTAGAAGTTATGTGTCGGAGGCAACTCCAAGCGGCGATGAAGAACAGAAGGGGGGGGGGGAGGGCAGACGAATAAGCAGGGGCTGGTTGCTATTGTGTGGACAAACGCAAACAAATAAAGAGAGAGAGAGAGGGACACGTGAGCTATGAGAAAGTTCTGATGGCGCGGTCCAATCGAGTTCGGAAAATCGCTCCATAATTACGCGCGCTGCGGTGTAACAACGTATAGTATATGTGTTAGGTAACGAGTGCATAAGCTGGGGGGTTGGGGTAAACTCGAGAAGCTGGCACGTATGGCCCTGTGTGTAGGCATGGGGAGGGCAGTCTACATCGTTTGTTAATTTACTGGCTTAATTAATGATTCAATAACCATTTTCTGGCTGTATGTACATACATATCCCCAACGACAGAGGCTTGGGAGGCAATTTTCATTTTGACGACATTCGAGTAATTTTTTTTTTTCAACCAAGGGAAAGAATGGCTTCATTTTCCAAGTAAAGTGTCATATACGCTTACCTTTAGGCGTGTCTTATTGCAATTTTTAAAATAATAAATTGTACGCCTATGTATAATTGGCCTTTCGAAATACTATACCGTATTTTTGGACAATGAGCACACCATGTGTGGTACGCCATGGTGTGTATAACAAAGGGCGAATAGCAACAAAGCCACGGAGTCGTTCCGTTGTACATCATGTTCGTCGAATCAGTTAGTGCTGATACACTAGGGATTTTGCCAAAGAGAATCGGCTCGTGTATTCATTCGACCGGAAAAAGACCCGTAGAAAAGCTTGAAAATCCTAAATAATAAAAAGTATCTCTATATCTTTTTGCCTTTTTTTTTCCTCTCTTGTCCAGCTATGAAGTACCATTTTTTATTTATTTTTTTTTTTTTATCTGCAATCAGTGCATCGTGCGCGTCCATACGGTATATACACGCACTCGTCGATGGAAGCTCCTGCAGGATTGTTGAATGCAAGAGTCATTTCATTCTGATCATACCTCGTATCGTATGGATACTGTACATTACACAATAGCCCACGTTACTCGATAAAAAAAAAAAAAAAAAAAAAAAAAAAAAGGAATCTATACTGTACTCGATTGTGCTCTTTTCATTCGTACAACAATACCACACACGCGGATAAATTTCAAATACTTCACTTTTTTTTTTCTTTCCTTCGACGTTTCACAGCCACGAGATAAAAAGCCGAAATAATTACACGGACAATGCCCGGCTCGTACAAAGTTAATAACGAAAAAAAAGGCCCCTCATATGGCGACCGTCATTGCCATTAAAGTAAAGGCTGAATGAAAATATCCATAAAGTTCCTGCGCTTTTAATATACAAACCCTCCCCCTTTACTCGTAAAAAAGGATATAAAGTCATCCCACAGCTCGCACGTTCTTTCGCTGATGTTCCTCAACTATGTAGGATCCCCTCTATTACGCTCGCAACTATATTATGATGTAGGGATAAAGCGATTCTCTAGAGTCTCTCGCGATAACGTGACGATGAGTCAGTAGAGAAGAAAAACACAACACAGGCGCGACAGAGACAAGAGACGAATATCCGTATTTTAATAAATTACTGATCCGTGCAGGTGTATAATGTGGATGCAAAGAGGACATCAGGAGAAAATATTGAAGCAGCGCACCTGTACAACGCAAAAAGATAAAAAGAGAGAGAAGTACAAGATAATGGAGAACGAGGGTAACGAGAAATGCGATCTCGGGCGAGGCTGCAGTCCATTAGTGGATTCGTGCCGCTGTACAGGACTTTTCAGTTTACGCGTACCACCATCGAGTCGGGAAAACGAGGGGGGGGGGGGCGTAGGGAGACGCTCCACCTACGCATATCTCCGTCACTCGCCCGTATCTGTGGGCACGTGAAAAACTATAGTGTACACAAAACGACGCGAGCCACAGAAGTACATCGCATGTGAAGGAAAAAATTGGATAGGTAAGAGTGACAGTAGTGGTAGTCGCCTGTAGGTGTAGGGATGGAAGGGACAAGTGGAAGGACGTGATGGCGACGGTGATGTACATTATCGATAGAGACTAAAAGAGACAAAGTAAACGCGGATCGTATAGCGCGGAGATAAAGGTATAGTATAGTGCGAGGCAATTGTCGCCTGAACCTGAGATTATGTGTTACAGACTTTATTTTTTTTTCTTCACCCAGACTTAAGCACAATAATTTTATGGATTTTTAAACACTGGGATGATTATTTTTATATGTATGGATCAAAAAAGTAAATTATTTTGCTGAAAAAGTTTTTATTTGTCACTATTTACAATACAATACTAAGAAAAATTTGTTTTTGTTGAAACTAAATTGCTTTTCTCTTTTAATGATGCATTTTTTGGCGGGACGATTATAAGTATTCATAAAAAAAAAAAAATTCTAAACAAAAAGTAATGCATTACATTCTTGCAAAAAAAAAAGAAAAAAAAAAAAAGAAAAAAACATTACAAAAGAAATTGAAAAAGTATCCCAAGTCTGTACCAATACATGTCAAACGAGCTTACTTTCCTCTCCTCACGTAGTACTGGTATTATAGCTGTTAATATCGTGTGCGAACTTCCTCACCTTTTCTTTTTTGTTTTGACGGGTGGGATACGTTAGAAAAAAAAGAAAAGTTCTTGGAAGGTATTGAACAAAAAGTAATGTTTTTTCCTAAACTCTCCTTGTTACGTGACTTTTTTTTCTCAAACATCCAAGATAATAACATCAAATTTCCTTTGTTTATCGGACACAATAACGAGGATCTCAAGATCTCATGGATTGAATTTCTTTGGGCTTTCTTTTGATCAACCACTTTGTACAATATTATTTAATTATTAGCGATACATCTAAGGAGTTACCGAAATAAGCTCAAAATTCTGTACGCGGCACATCCTTGCTGACTAATTTTTTTTTTCTCTTCTGGTGAAATGGAGTTTTTCATTGAGTTTTTCATTGAGAGCGACGAGAGGTATATCGATCGATTCGTCAAAGCCCAGTTCCAAATAAAATTTTCATCCTATTCGTAGGAGGGGGGGGGTGGTAAAGCTAGAGTATGGAGCTCATATGAGATAGAGAAAGGACCGAACAGAGAGCGGACAATAGCCAAAGAGAGCAAATAACAACTTGTTGGTACAAGGAAAGTGAGGGGAAGGGGAGGGGCCTGCCTGTGAAAGTCGTGCTGTTGTATCGAGCTGCAGTTCGAGCGCATATTGCTTAAATTAATTGGTTTACGGTCGGAGGAAGGTTGCACGCGTACGCCAGAACCCCAGTAGGGGAGTCGGGGGTGCTGTGGAGCAGGAAAATTGAAGGCGGAAAATAGGTGGGAAAATGGACCCTCTGTATTAATAATGTATGCGAACGTGCCGGACGTTTCACTCCTGGAGAGAAAAAAAGTGGAAAACTGACGCGTCCGCCGGAGTCCATGCCGAGGGTGGAGGGGCAAGCGAGCGAGGGAGATCCTTTTACCTGACTTATGGGATTGCTTGTGGAAAAAAATGAGCGTTCTAATGAAGACATTTGTCGGTGTCTCGCGTGATGCTGAATCGAGCAATCCATTCTAGAGCTGTCCTACGGTTTGAGTGCTGTAACATCGCCCTCATGAAAATTGAGATCTACTTTATTTTATAATCCTACACACGCCCATGATAAATACAAATTTTGTCGATTTAGTAAAAAAAAAAAATTTATAGTTGCCTTTTCTCGTATTTCTCTGGTAAAAAGTCTTAATCTTAGCACTAAAAAATTTACGGGCTAAGGGTACATCCAAATAACCTTACGGTTAATTTTTATTTACAAAGTTTACATGTTTTCGTGCATCAAGAAGCAACCCAAATTTCACACTCGTATCACATTTATGTATACATTACCATGTACAATTCTTTTGATGAATTCAAATAAAAAAGGTTCTGCAAGAGTCGAATTTTTTGAGGGGGATGCAGCAAGTCAACTTGGCTGCATGTAGACACAAGCAGATATACCAGTAACACCAAAATACACGGACAATAATAATTGTCTCCAATTGTAAGTATACATTAGAGATACAACACATGGGGTATGCCGAGCTAAGTATAAATTATGTCGAGAGAAGGAAAGAACAAGAGAATAATACGAAAGAGCAGCTGCTGAAGGTGGGAGCGCATGCGTGGATGGGAGTGGCGTGTCGGCAAAGCTGGCGCGCTTAGATCCGCGGCCAAGCCCGTACCGAACACTCGAGCGCTAGTCCGGCTGCCGCGCTCGTCTCCAAGTACCGGTTCTGCTGCTGTTCGGCGCGCGACCGTGTGACCAACAATACATGGGCTAAGGTGATTGTGTCGTCTGTGGAATATGTGACAAGAGTTGGAAAGTACTTGTCATTACCGATTGGCAACCGGTTGATCAACAAAAAAATCAACATGAAAGTAAAGGACAACGAGCGAGTGATTTTACAAGTTTAAGCGACTAACGCGCGGAGAAGAAAATAATTGTATTGTTGATAATTGGGGAGGCCATGAGGAAGTGCGGGAGTGGAAAAGTATAGTGTAAGAGTGACGAGTGGGACGATGGAGGAGGAGGACGGCGGTACGTGCCTGATGGGCTGCAGGTGTGGGCACCTCCGTCCGACCAAAGCGCGACTCGTACTACTGGCCTCACTCGTACTCGCCGCGCTAACGACAGGTAATTCCCTACACTTATTCCATTCTCTTATTTTTTTTTATTTTTTTTCTCTTTGATGTCACATCCTTTGCACCTCGAGCACTTTTATTCCCATCTCCTGCTGCTTTTTTCTCCTCCTTTTACCAGATGCAGGCCATTACAGGTGCAATATGCGGCCGCAGTGAGGCAGAGAGCACGTGCGCCTTTGTATTATTAACCGCGTCTGTCCCACATGTGACGCGAATGATATCTTCTCTGTACGTGCAGTGGCTCCAGCGGCTATTGCTTCGTTTGGATGCCACCGCGGAGGAGGAGTTAATGGCTCGTATGTGGGCGCCGGCGTGAATTGCTTCCCCATCCCCTTTTACTATATCCATCTACATCTTTATGTGTTTGTCGTGGGTTGGATCAAGCTCGTAGGCATAAACGTACTTGTGTATAGTGAAATGGGGATAGCATAACTTTAATTGTCCTACTGAGCGGTAATTGAGGTGCCAAAACTGGAGGGGGACATTTATATGGTGTTGAACACTTGGAATAGGAATCATCAAACAATACTCGTTGTAGCTTGTTCATTTATTGATTTTTCTTTAGTAAATGTTTCAAGATTATGTCAATTGTGTGATTTGAGATGTATAAACAAATTTTTTTTTTCGGATCGACATCAATTATTAAGTACCAAAAGTACTGTTTCATAAAAAAAGTATAAGATCCAAAAGGTCACAGGTATGTGGCAAAAGTAATGGGATCTACAAAACTTGAGTATTGAATTTTATTGTAGAACGCGAGTATGGAAATCGCGAGGGTCCATCCCCGCAAAAGTGTTTTCCGTTTCTCGCGCCACTCGAGCGGGAGAACGTAAGGTTATAGCCGATGAAACGAAGCGCAACCACCGCAAAGAGGCAAATCCCTCCGGCAGCCTGGTATGGTATAGGGGCAAGTCGAGCGGAAAAAACGGGCGTGGGGTGTTAAGGGGAGGGTTGGGGCACGTGCCCAAGATTTTTCTTTTTTTTTCCCCGTTCGTTTAGTCCCGATACTCTACTTTCGAAAGCTGGCCGGCAGGTACACTTGACCGGCTGCGTCTCTCGAGCGAAGGAAAAGCTATTAAGAGTTATCGAGCTTTACGTGCGGAGTCAACCTAGCTATCTCTGTGTTATTTTTAGTGGACTTGCACCCAACACTTTTAATTTTCATGTTGATTAATGATGAAAAAAAAAAAAAAAAATTCTTTAAGCCCAATTTTCGGCATCAAGTATAAATATGTATTGCTTCATTCGGCATGAATTTTAATGGGAAAAATTTTAATAATTTGAGTCATACTACACTTTTATAACATCAAAATTATTGTAGGTGTTTTTAACATTTACGTTTAATCTTGATTAACATTAAACACACTTCAAAAAAGGTATTCGAAAAACTAATTAATTCCTTTTTCTCCGGCGGAAATATTAAACATTGATTTTACGTACTTGATGCGCATATAATGTACTGTTAATTTTTAAAAATTCGCTTGGCTAACACGGCTCTATAATATTTTGCTCGGAATGTGATGAATTAATACAAATTAAATAAAGTTTGTCAACGAACACATATCGAAAGTTCCATTCAACTCCTTACACTGCACACATGCTTCATATATTAATAAAATATGATCTGCAGTAAAAAGAAAAAAAGATTCAAGTTATGAAAGCTATGCATACAGATTTTATAACTGTTATGCACGTGTAGAATCTCCTTCCGATCGTACAAGACCTTCGAGGGAAATCTCCTTTTTCGCCATCACAAAGCCTTGGCCATATTATGTGGCGAAAATAGAGGGAAGGGCCAAAACGACAGGGGTTATTGCGCACAGTTCGCAGATACATACGTACAGATACGTGAATGACAATAGAAAGAGAGAATGGAAGGAAGATCGCTGGACGCAACGACACTAGTAGTACAGCAGTAAACGGTAATAGTAGTATAGCTGTCACCTCATCGTACATATACTCAAAGAGAGGAAAAAAAAAAGAATCGAATGCGGGGGCGTCATCCCCATCGGCTAGACACACACCCCTAAACGTACCTATACAAATATATGCACGAAGGAGGTTGGGAGATGGAGGTGAGGGTGAAAGGAATATGACCCGCAGTCGCAGATTATGCAAATGGCAGCCAATTCGATTGAAGAGCATAGCAAATAACCTATCTTTTGCCCTATTCGAGCGAATGCGCGGGTGCGGCCCTGCTTATGCGGCAAAGGAGCCGATCCATTAGAATATCACGTGTAACCCATCGCCTCTGTCTGTCTCATTTCCACCCGGTGCAGCCGCGCGCCCATTAATTCCACGTTTTTCTGCCATTTTCCTCCCTTTTTTTTCCCATTTGACTCCCTCTCGGAAGATATTCCTACTCCCAGGGGTGAGGATACCGTGGCTAGCTGACGATCAAGTTTTTGCGGCTGTGTTCTCGGGACTTGGCGCGATTCTCTTCTTTGTTCCCTCGTTCGGTGCGTTTCATGCTCGGTTAGCTCTACAGATTTTTTATTTTTTACTTCTTTGAAAACAAATGTGTATTTCACGGGACCTACGACGAGAGTTTCAGTGCCACCGTGGCTTTGCTATGAATTTCATTTACTCGCTCAGACTATCACTTGACTCTATACCGATTAATAAGTAGTGGCAGAAATACCTTACGCGCAGTTTTTCTACTGCAAATAATTTAGCAATTTATAAAATTATCTTTTTAGTATTTAGTTCCTTTTTTTAAATCTAATCTTACGAATTCAGCCGAAGTGATAATATTTACAAACTCTAAGACTACACAATTGAAACAATAAAAATTCATCTTCTACGTACAACCTGTGGCGCAGTGTAAAAAAATTGTTGCTTGAAAAAAAAAAAAACTTTTTGCTTTATTTACTGAACTAGTCGATATTTTTTGTTTAGTTATCACATTGTTTAATGGACTCTTCGAAATGAAACTGCGAGAAGGTTATTTCATTAAAACTCTACTGTTATATGAATAGCGTCCATAAAAATTCCATCAGCTTTTTTTGAGACAGTAATTTCAATTCTACAAAAGAGTGAGCCGAACAATGTCAAGCACTGTCGTACTTGACCATTCACAAAGGATTTTTTTCTGGACAAAGTAAAAACTGTATTCGAGTGCCTTCGTTTTATTTCTATTTCTCATGCAACTAAAATGATTAAATTTGAGGTACAGTCAGAGGCTACACATAGAATGAATATGCAACTGCATAGAACTAATTGACAGGAAGAGTAAGAATTTTTAACTTTAACGAAAAGAACAATTTTTTGTTCTGATTTTTTATAAAAGACGAAAATCCTAACAGGATGATAAAAAAACAATTGTTCACGTACCTACAATTAAAAATCATTAGTAAAAAAACTTAGTTTGTGTAATCAACGATTGTTTGATCAGTAGTGGTGTAGCTCACAAATACACAGATTCACTGATTAATTTTTTAAATTTACTTTAAATTTTACACCAAATTTGTGCTCAAGCCATCAGTAATATGCCCCAAAACAAAACCGGTAGAAAATAGTGTACTAATATTGAAAAAATTCATATTTTCTCGCACTATCAGATATAGTCAATGGAGCAAAACTGTGATTATTCAAATCACCTAGCCACGCAGAGACACGTCAAGAGTATCTCGGAAGCTTCGAAAATCCGCTCAATTCTATTGTAAAATTTATGATATTAAATCCGCAACTGTGAAACCAAAAAAATTTATTCTGCCTGTAGTAGTTGCACTGCGCTGTACATTTCACGAAATGTAATCCAACAACTGATGCAATACAGAAATCCATAAATAAAGAAAACAAACCAAAACTCCTTTCACAGGAAAAGTAATATTTACGTTCTGATCCAGGATTTTGAGAAGAGAAACGTAATAATGAAAAAATAAAGTCACTCACACACACACATGTATGTACCTAAAAATGGTGTATAATAAAAGGAAATACGCGTACTTTCGTGGAACAACCAGAAAAGAAATTGTCGACGGTCCAATGATCACAAGAGCCTAAATTCCATAGTGATGGTATACGAGGATTAACTTCCGAGACTTTTACTCGTACACATGAGGTCCAAAACAGGTGAAAGTAAAAGTTGGAAAAATAATAATGCGCAAGTCCTGTCGGAGCGAAAAAACAAACGAAGGGACGAAAGAGGACGAGGAGATCAGAGAGGAGTTTTTCGAGTGCTCGGCGTACATCGCGCATTAGTAGTCTGGGGAAAAAAAAAAAAAAAAAAAAAAAAAAAAAAAAAAACAAGCAAAATAAATAACAGAAGCGATGCAGCCTCCACTCGATGCTCTGCTCCGCTGAAGGGGAAAGGAGAACGAGGGGCAAGGGTTTTATTGTACCTGTGCGCGGGTTGAAGAGGCTCGCGAAGATGATGGAAGAGGGGAGAACGAATATAAGCCGAGCAATGCTAAAACGCCGGCCGGAATCACGGGGAAGCGGATGTGGAAAAAGCATCGCCACTTGGACCGTATACACTGACCATGGCCCGTGAGTACAGTTGGACTTGGATTGTACGCAATAATTAACCATGCACGAGCCGATAGTCCCCATATTTCTCTCTTTCCGATTGCTTTCTTTAATTGGAGCTTTTTTTTATGAGATCACCTCGAGGCGATCGTCACATCAACAACACCAACCTCCACTCTGGTGATTTTTGTATTCTTTGCGCTCCACGTATACTCTACCGCGTACACTCTAAATTTTAGAGAACATGTCGATTTAGTACACGTGAGAGTCTATGGGATCATCGAGTCTTGATAAAAAAGATACAAAAACTTGAAGCGTTTGAATCTGCAAAATTTTCTTAATAATGCATCTTTCCTCGAGATTACACGTATCTTTGTGTTTTCACTCGACTACTCATCCTCGTATTTATTTCTTATATTTTCTTCGTATTATGTTTTTTACATTGAACCATTTGTCTCTTTATATTTCTTTATACTGTATCATGCGGTTGATTGCAGCAACTATTTCTTTATGAATATACAT